GGCTGGTTTGAGCCCTTTTGCTCTATCTAACCAGGTAAAAACTATGAGTCGGTGAAGAGAAGCTCTTCCGGTGCTCTCACTCACGGACCCTTGACTGCCACATTCTAGGAGTTGCATTGTCAGACCCAGAAGCTTACAATTAGAAGTCGTGAGAGCCAGAGGCCATTCCTCCAAGCTTTAGAGGCCAGAGACTTACCTCTGGGCGCTCAGGTGGAAGGAAGGCTTACTGCTCTGGACTTTGAGCCGCCGGTGGTCCCAGCACCCGGCAGCTAGGACAATCCCTACCTTCCAGTAGGAGGGAGCAGACAGCAGCTAGAAGTAGCAGATGGCACCTTCTACTGTTACAGCGCATACAGACATCAGCTAAAAGCACCCTGAGCCCTACAGGGACAGCAAGTATTACAGCTTTCAAGCACAGGGTACCAGAATCCCCAGCCCTTGTCAGGCCCAGGGGATATGAGGCACCTTGGACTTCAGAGGTCAGAACTCAGTTTTTCACTTCCTGTACGTAAATTTATTTTAAAGAATAAACAAATGACGGCAAATGCTGGTGACGATGTGGGGAAAGAACGATGCTCGCACACTGCTGGCGGGACAGTAAATGGATACAGCCAGTGTGGACATCACTCTGGGGATCTCTTAAAAAACTAAAAGTAGAATCATGATATATGCCCACTCACAAGCATATACCCAAATCACTCTGGCCAGAGAAGCAGCAGGCACGCATTGAGAATCCACAGGCCACTCCTGCCAGGGACATAGGTCAGCTAACTGCAGGTCATTGCCTCCTCCAAGTCCAGTCCTCCAACTCACCCCCACCTCTGTAGCAGAACACCTGCTACAGCCTCACCCTCACCTCACCTCTAGCGAACCCCACAGATCTTCCTCTCCTAACATCTCTCCCCCGACTCTCTGCTTTATCCCACCCCATCCCAACTCCAGCAGGCACTCCCTGTGAGCACACAGGCCCTTTCTACCAGGGAAGCAGGTGGGCTAACTGCAGACCTTCACCCTCCCTTCTGTTCCTCCTCGTCAAATCCCCCAGTCTCATCCTAAGCTCTGTGACAGAGCACCTACTTACCTTACCTTCCCCTGCTCCCTTCTCCTGTGGATCCCACGGGCCTTCCCCTCATCCCCTCCCGGCCCCCACTTGCTTTATCCCACCCGCCAACCCCAGCAGGCACTCCCTGGGAACCCACAGGCCACTCCTGCTAGGGAGGCAGGTAGGCTAAATGGAGATCCTTACCTCTCTCTGGATTCCTCCAAGTCCACTCCCCAGTCTCACCCCTGGCTCTATAGCAGACCTTCTGCTGTGCCTCCTCTACCTGCTCCCATTCCCAGGGGACTGACTAAGTAGATCCTGGTGGCACATCCTGCTCTCCTCCCTCTTGCAAAGCCCCCCCCCACTGCCCACAACCCACCCCCATTTCTAAGTCTCATGTCCCAGGAACACATTTTGCCTGGAACCTCCAGGGGCTACCCACATCAAGACTCCAAAAGATTTTCCTACAAGCAACACACAGCCACCAGACTCTCCTAAGAACTAGAGAGGAAACCAAGGGACAAAACACCCACCCAACAAAGATAAATCCAGTTATTAGTACCTAGATTTACAGTTTTCCCAATCCCAGATGCCTGGATGCCAGCATAAAAACACAATAAAAAACAGCCAGGACAATATGTCTGGGATATGTCTGAGCCCAGCAACCCTACCACAAGAGGTCCTGAATATGTCAACATATTTGAAGCACAAACAAAAGACCTTAAGACAGCCTTTATGATATGATAGAGGTCCTTTGTGATGGCTATTCTTGGTTGTCAACTTGACTATATCTGGAATGAACTACAATCCAGAAATGGAGGGCACACCTGTGAGAGATTTTCTACTTGGTTTGAAGTGGGTGAATCCCCTTCTAGTCTGGACCTTTGAGGTAGGAAGACATACCTATGATCTGGATCATAAAGACACAAGCTTTTGATCCAGATCTTGAGGTGGGGAGACACACCTTTAATCTGGGCCACACCTCTTGCTAGAAGCCTGTATAGAAGCCTATAAGGGCATGGAAGAAGGAAGCTCTTATTCTTTACCGGCTTGTCCTTGCCTTGCTAGCACCTCCATTCCTTCTCTGGCTTTGGGGCCTATTTCTTTGTGATTCCATCATAAACAGAAGACCAGCTGAGATACCCAGCCTGGTGGGACTGGGCAACTCTGGATTCTTGGACTTTCCATTCACAGCTAGCTATTGTTAGATTACCTGGACTGCAGCCTGTAAGTCATTCCAATAAATTCCCACATATATGTATGTGTACACACACACACACATTATATATATATATATATATATATATATGGAGAGAGAGAGAGATATTAATTCCATAAATCCTCAGAGTCCAGACAACTCTGACTAATACATCTTTACAGAGGAAATGAATAAATCACTTAAAGAAACCTATAAAAACACAAACAGTGGAAGGAAATGAATGAAACAGTTCAAGAACTGAAAGTGGAAGTAGAATAAGTAAAGAAAACTAAAACTTGGGGAAATCTGGAAGTGAAAATTTAGGAACTCGAACAGGAACCACAAAAGAAGAATACAAGAGATGGAAGAGAGACACTCAGGCATTGAAGACACAATAGAAGAAGTGGATGCATTGGTCAAAAATGTTAGGTCTAAAGAACTCCAGGCACAAAATATCCATGAAATCTGGGACACTATGAAAAGACCAAATCTAAGAATAGTAGGAATAGAGGAAGGAGAAGAAACATGGGTCAAAGGCACAGAAAATATTTTCAACAAAATCAGAAGAAATCAGAATTTTCTTAACCTAAAGAAGGAAATGCCCATCAAGGTACAAGAAGCATATAGAACACCAAATAGACTGGACCAGAAAAGAAGGTCCCCTTGGCACATAATAATCAAAACACTAAACATACAGAATGAAGAAAGAGACCTTTGAACACTCATCCCTAAATGGGATGTCTCCATCAAATCTGTCTCCTCAGAGCTCAAGGAACTCTGTGGAAGAGGAGGTGGGAAGAATGTAAGAGCCGTAGGGTCTGGAGGACACCAGGAAAACAAGGCCTTCTAACTCAACATGAGCAGAGAACACAAGAACTCATGGAGACTGGAGCAGCATGCAAAGGTCCTGTACAGGTGTCACCAGGTCCTCTGTGCTAATATTATGGCTTCCAGTTTAGTGTTTTTATTGGATTACTGAGTTTGCAAATGAGTGGGTCTCTGATTCTTGTGCCTTCTCTTGGGCTCTTTTCCTTCTGTTGGTTTGTCTTATCCACCTTCAGTGTGATAGTTTTTGTTTTATTATATTTTAAAAATGAATGGATGAATAAATGTAAACCTAGACACTAAAGGTTAAAAAACTATTTTCAATAAAAGAAAACTAGAGGGAAAATTATTTTCATGTTGATCTCCTTAGTGAAAGTAGAATAATACATGAGTCATTAAGAAAAATATTAAAATTAGATTATAAGTAAAAGAGAGAGTTGACTCTCTAAATGCTACCATAAAAATATTTGCATATCCATGTTTATGGCTGTGCTGTTTATAATATGAAGGAAATGGAACAAGTCTAGATGTTCATCAACAGATAAATGGAAAATGCAAATATTGTACAGATACACAATAGAACTTTAAAAACAATTTTTTTTCAGGAGAGAGTATGAACTCAGTCCTCCACTACCACAAATTATGCATTTAAGTTTCCTATTTGAGGAAGTCACAGGGGTCATCACATCTAGAGTATAGTGAATGAACTTCCCAATGGAAAACCACCTTCAGGAATCATGGGTTCTCCCCTGCCAGGTAAGTATACACATGGAATTTTATTCAGCCATAAAGAGGAACAAAGTCATAAATTTTCAAGAAAATTGATGGATTTTGAAATTATTATATTAAATAACCCAAACTCAGAAAAGCAATCACCATGAGTCTCTGTGATATACATGCCATAGATTTTAATTTTTATGTATGTGTACACATGAAATTTATAGGTCATGAAACTAGAAAGACCATGAGAAAAGCAAAAGTGGTCTTAGGAAGGGGAATAAAAAAAAAAAACTGGTGATGAGAACAAGCAGTAGAATACATGTGATATGAAAGCAGAAACCCCCTGTGGGGAGGAGGGAATGAGCAGGAAGGCAGCAGGACATGGGAAGGGAGTAGAAAAAGAAGATCAACAAAAAAAATATGTGTATAAATGCCATAATGAGGAGGATGGCCAATGGTGGTGCACGCCTTTAATTCCAGCACTCAGGAGGCAGACACAGGCAGATCTCTAAGTCTATAGGGTGAGTTCCAGGGTAGCCAGTCTACACAGAGAAACCCTGTCTCAAAGAAAAAAAAAAGAAAGGAAGGAAAGAAAGAAAGAGAGAAAGAAAGAAAGGAAGGAAGGAAGGAAGGAAGGAAGGAAGGAAGGAAGGAAGGAAGGAAGGAAGGAAGGAAGAGCGAGCCATAATAAAACCCATAGCTTTAATGCACTAACTATAAAACCAAATAAATTTTAAAAGAGGCACTATTTCTTTGTAACCTCTTTTCAGAAGTTCGTGGGGAAAAAAAGAAGTTCATGGATAGTCATTCTGATCCATCCACTATAAAGTTTCCTGTCAGTCTTTCACCAAATGTTTTCAGCAGCAAAGATAATGATCATAGATCTGTATCATCCAATAAAGTAGGACTCTGCCGTGCACCTGTGTGGTTACTGAAACTTAAAGAAACTTACAAGGTTTCAAATTCAGGTGACTGGGATACAGCTCAGTGATTTTTTTTTAAAAAAAATACTTGTCTATCATGCAGGAGGTAGCTTTGTTCCCCCACACCTCAAAAAACATTTAAGTTCAGTTTCTCAATGATCCTAGGCACATTTCCAGTGCTTTCTAGCTATTGTGCCTACCGTATAGACCAGTGCTGACACAACCATGTCTATCATCAGAAAAGGTGCTATTCTACAAGGATTGTTTCACTTTACTTATAGAACTTGTAACTTTTGGAATTAGTTGGAGTTGTTGTTTAAAGAATGGCGTATCCACATCAAGTTATTCTGTTGCTCTGAGATACAACTTATACAGGAATCCATTTGCCTTTATTTAACAGCATTCAGAATGTTGAAGTAAGGGGCCTGTGGGATGGGTTAGTGGGTTAAGGCACTTGCTGCCAAGCCTGTGGATCTGAGTTCAATCCTAAGGACCACATGGTGGGACTTCTATAAGTTCTCCTCTGACCTCCACACACATGCTATGCCACACACATGCTCTTGCTCACACACATACACATACAAAATAAAGAAATAAGTATAATTATTTTATTATTTTACGTGAATGAGTGTTTTGCCTGCATGTGTGCATGTGTACCACCTACATGCCTAGCACCCTCAAAGGTCAGATCCCCTGGAGTTACAGACAGTTGTGAGCTGCCATGTGGGTGGTGGGAACTGAACCTGGGTCCTCTGCAAGAGCAATAAGTGCTCTTATCCACTGAGCTAAATCTCTAGTCCTACATGTAATTCTAAAACGGAAATTAAAAATAGAAATTCCACCGGGGCGATGGTGGTGCACGCCTTTAATCCCAGCACGTGGGAGGCAGAGGCAGGTGGATCTCTGTGAGTTCGAGGCCAACATGGTCTACAGAGTGAGTTCCAGGGCAGGCTTCAAAGCTACACAGAGAAATCTTATCTCAAAAAAGAAGAAGAAGAAGGAGAAGAAGAAGAAGAAGAAGAAGAAGAAGAAGAAGAAGAAGAAGAAGAAGAAGAAATAAAGAAAAAGAATTCCCACGTGACTCCAAAATCCCTTTTCTGTGTATAAACGGCAGTAAGTGAAATCACTACCTTATACAGACACCTGGGAGGCAAGCTGGGTAGACAGAAGTATGAGGCACATGGGAAGAGAAAGGAACCATCGCTCTCAAGCTGGGAGGAAGCCTCTTGCCAACTCAAAAAGAATTCCAACACAATTAAGAACATTGTGGTCATGTTGGTGTTACAGAAACAATATGCCTTCAGTGAGAAATGACTCTACACACTTAGATTAATAAAGGAAAAACTCCTTTATAGCATTTGTCTGGCTCTGGCTAATGCTCAAAAAGCAGTCAGTCTTAAATAGAAGGTTTGCTAACTTATGTACACCCCAGGCTTGTACATTCCACACATCAGTCTAGAACCTTCAGTCTCTTTCGGTTCTAGCCCCAGGTTACATTCTGAACAGTTTAACCAGAGACAAGAGACTGCAAGTTTAGCTACTGGGACAGATGGGAGATTTACATATCAAAGATGTTGTCAGAATTATTTCTAAAGTATACCAGAGTTTTGTTTTTGTTTTTGTTTTTGTTTTTTTTTTTCAAATGGTTGTCAACCAGTGTTATCTTGCCTATGCGGCAGAATTATGCTTTTCTCAAGAAGAGAACTGGGACTCAAGAGGCAGAAGCAGGCAGATCTCTGAGTTCAAGGCCAGCCTGGTCTACATAGTGAGTTCTAGGACCGCCAGAGCTACATAGTAAGACTCTGTCTCGAAAAAGAAAGAAAAACAAAAACAAAAACAAAAAGCACAACAAGCTGGGCAGCGGTGGCGCACGCCTTTAATCCCAGCATTTGGGAGGCAGAACCAGGCAGATGTTTGTGAGTTCGAGGCCAGCCTGGCCTACAGAGTGAGATCCAGGAAAGGCACAAAGCTACACAAAGAAACCCTGTCTCAAAAAACAAAAACAAAAACAAAACCACAACAAAAAAATATATATCTAAAGAAGACAATGGTGAGTTTCTGGCAGCCTGAGAGCCCTGCGTTGCCCCTTGAGCTGCCTGTCTAGAGGCATGTCCTAATGGCTAGTGAATACTGTAAACAAACGTTTACATCCTAACATCATAAATTTCACTTATCTCTGGTTAGCATACTACTTATTTTGGGAGAATTTTTTTGTTTTTGTCGAGACAGGGTTTCTCTGTGTAGCTTTGTGCCTTTCCTGGAACTCGTCTGTAGACCAGGCTGGCCTCGAACTCACAGAGATCCGCCTGCCTCTGCCTCCAGAGTGCTGGAATTAAAGGTGTGCGCCACCACCGCCCGGCATTTTGGGAGAATTTTGAGGGCAGTGCTCCCTTAGCTAAATTCTACTTTGTGTGACTCAGTGTCACCAAAGGAAATCTAGTAACACATTCTTTTTTTTTTTTAAATAATTTATTAACTTTATTTTATGTGCATTGGTATAACAGTGTCAGATCTCCAGGAACTGGAGTTTCAGACAGTTGTGAGCTGTCATGTGGGTGCTGGGAATTGAACCCGGGTCCTCTGGAAGAGCAGTCAGTGCTCTTAACCACTGAGCCATCTCTCCAGGCCCGTAACACATTCTTTATAACATCAGTTCTATTACTTTGAGTTTCTTCTACATCAGTTGGCACACGCCTTTAATCCCTGCACTCTGGTGGCAGAAATATGCCAACCTTCTCTGAGATCAAGGCCAGCCTGGTCTACAAAGTGTGTCCTGAGCCAGCCAGGGCTATACAGCAAGATCCTGTGTCAAAAAACGAACAAACAAACCACATTTGTTGAAGGCCTTTCTCTTTCCCCAACTATAAATCTCATCAGAAATCCCATTTACAGCAAAAGCTATTTCCTAGCCCCCTTGTGGAACCTCAATGGCTCTTGATTTTACTTCCTCAGATTATAAACCCATCCAAGGAACCTCCAAGGCTGCCCTATAGTCTCAACAGCTCCTTAGCATTTGGAAGATGTAACTGAGAGCCACTGAAATGGTGTGAAGACTCTTCTCTGAGAAGGCCACACTTAGGCTCTCAGGGCTGCCTTATTCTTTTCCTAAGCACCTTTCTTCAGCGAACTCTGCTTCATACCGGCTCATTCTGAAATTCCTTTGTGGAAGTCAAAGATCCCTCAAACTGCTGCGGATGACACAGAGCTGTGACCCTTCCCTGTTGCTGGATGCAGGTGGTCCTTCAGCTTTTCCTGTCCTGTCCCTCGATTCTTTATATGTTCCCAAGAGCACTCCAATAACTCAAGGATTGCCAAAATTCTATCTTAGTTCCTGTTTCTAAGATATACAATACAAAGATGACTTTGACGCAAGGAAAGACAGAAGACCCTGGCACAGCTAATCTTTTAAGGCACTGATTTGGACTCCAGGAAAAAGCATGTCTATCTCCAATGTAAAGAAATTCAACTTGAGCTGGGCAGTGGTGGTGAATGCCTTGAATCCCAGCATACAGGAGGCAGAGGCAGGTGGATCTCTGAGTTGAAGACCAGCCTGGTCTACAGAGTGAGTTCCAGGACAGCCATGGCTACACAGAGAAAACCTGTCTTAAAAAAAACCAAAAGAAAAATATTCAATTTGGTTGGAACCCAGATATCCTTCTTGTACTCTCCTTCCCTCCTCCATCCTGTTTTCCCTAACCCTGCCACTCTAGACTTAGACCTGCCACTGCCACCAGCTTCAGCCCCTCCCCCTAGCCCACTTCCATGCCCTTGAGACTAAGCCTCATGATACAGACTCGGAGTCCCCCTAGTTCTTCCTGAATGCCCTCCTAGGCCGTCACTTCTCCTAGCCCGTCTCCAGGCCTTTGTGACACCCTGCTGACTTGCAG